AGCGCGACCTCGGCCCGCCGGCCCTACCGCCGTCGAGGGGTCGAAGAGATAGCCCCGGTGGTGTCGGCAGCGGCCCCTCGGCGGTCATCTCAGAGCGGAGGGCGGCAGGGTCCTTCGTTTGGCGGTCGGCGTTCCGTCCTCTTCTCGCCGCCCCTTGGAGCGGGGTGTACACGCGGTCGGGGCGCGGGGCTCGCCTCTACCGCTACCGCGCGCCTGCGGCGCGCGGTCTTCGCCAACTCAAAAAAAAAACAAACTACAAAAAAGACTAATAACCTTAAGTCGGCGCGCTCCTATGAGCACGCCACACGCCTTGCGATAGGGCTTTCGCCCTTGGGACGGGCGCTCCGAGCCGCCACGTCACAACACACACACATTCACACACACAAACACACAAAGAGGTGTAAATCCGACCGTGCAACCTCCACCTTGGGTAATGCTAATGCCGGCGGTACCGTAACTTTCAACCCTCATAACTCGAAAAGTACTGATTAAAAAAACGTTTCATTATAGCGTTTTGGAAAGCTCTCGAGGTAAGCTACAAGAATATGCATTGAAAAATGGGGGTTTCCATTTAAGAAATTAAAGGTGACCTTCACGTGATCTTCAAATGACTATCCAAGGTCAAACCAATGACATCATCTTATGTGCCCCTCGAAGTCACAAAACTTTTGTTTGAAACATTTTTCTTTAAAATGTCGCGTTTACGAAAAAATCGGGTGAGACGGGTGGTCTGAGACACCCTGTATAATCTAATTAAAGGTAAAACAGCAAGGGTTAAATGACCCTCGGTACTTCTACTGTTAAAGACGATTCACGACCGGGTACCTCAAAAACAACTTAAAACAAAGAAAACATGCGAAAAATAGTTGAAATTCCTCGAGTCGATTGCTCTATGTCTGCGAAAGTCATTGAGAAACTCACCGACATTCTTAAAACCATTGTTCATTGCATTTTAAAGGAAGATTTGGGAATGCGGAAAAAATGATAATGATAAACCTTTTTACAAAGCCAAGGTTGTATGTGATTTTTGGGCCAAAAAGAACATTATAGTATTTGAACACGCTGTACTCGTCTAATTTTACTCTCTGTGATTTCTGGCTATTTCCAAAACTAAAGTTGGTCATGAAAGGATCATGTTATGATTCGATTCAGGGTATCCGAAAAGTTTCGGCAGAATTTCTAAAAACGATTCCGGCGGAAAACTTTAAGAACTGTTTCAAAAAGTTTTACGATCTTTTCCAGCGGTATATTGACTCACAAAGAGTCTATTTCGAATAAGTAATAATAAAAATAAGACATAAATAATCGCCTTGTGTAAATAAGCGCGAACATGGTAGACAGCGCACCGGTCTACTATGCTAGAAGTCCCGAGTTCGATCTCCGACAGAACCAGAAAAATTGTTCATACGTTCGTAGCTTCTCTTCGGTGGGTCTGGCAAACCACCAAGTGTATTCATGCCAAAAAAAACCTCTTCTCCAATTTGCCGTTCGGAACCAGCGTTTAAAACTATATATAAAACTATAGGACCTTTCAATAGTCCCGTATACATGTGTATATTCTGCATGCGCACCACATATATATGTAAAAGAGAGAGGAGGAGGTCCTGGCTCGATATCAGCTGTAGCGCCATCGAATAATAACGTCTTGTGTTTCATTCACCAGTCACCTTTTCACTAGAACATACTATGTATCACGAGTGCCATTTTATGAAAATATTTGCTTATTTTCACATATATCATAATATATTTTGGTATGCAATTTCTCGTTTCTGACGCCATCAAATAAGGTTATCTAAAGTGAGAACACAGAAGTCTTAAAATGTCTATGTCCTAAAGTCTATGTTCATATGAAGATCTTAAACTCTTTTCATTTTTTTATTTTACAAATTTAGTGTTATTTTAACAGAGGATTATCATTATCAAATAAATTTAGAAATAGCGCTTCAAAAGTTTGATTTAAAAAGTGGTTTCAGCAGGAAGGAATTACATTTTTATCTTCATTAAAATTTAAAAAATTTAATTTTTTTATGCAGAATTAAAAATTAATGAATGTATTCAGTTTTCTTTCTAACATAAATATTTATAATTGCAGTTAGATAGCTTCAAGAATGCTTTATTAAACGACGTTAATAAAAGATTAAATAAAATATTTTTATTTTCAAAGACGTATGTTGTATCCTTGATGATACGTCAGGATTAAAAGAGTTAGAATAATCTGCAATTGAATGCGTTTAGACTTCGGAGTAGTCAGACAATAACTCCGCATTGATAGTAGTGACACAGTTCAGAACGACAAAGGATGAATTAATAGAGGGTGTCCAACAAACGTTACAAATACTTCTAAGTGTTTCTCTTTCTTCATTTATTTTTCGGGTTCGAATAAAGGAAAAAAAGGAAAACGCTTTGAAGCATTTGTAGTACTTGCTGGACCGCATTTATGTGTGAAGAGTGACATATTTATAACGAAATTTTGTGTTGCGTGCCATTTCTTTATTATTTACTTAATTGTGCAAATGTGATTTGTAACATTGTTAAACCTGTAAAAATGAACGAAAACTCAGATTAGCTCGGAATTTTATACATGAGAGTATATTTTCTACTTGTTTCAACAGCTATGAAACTATGTTTTCTTACATGAATAGAGCTTTATTTCATATATCTTTTACGTGTCTTTCACGTGCCTATTTATTGACTGGAATCAAGAGGGAAAATGAGAGTTTTCGTCCATTTTCACAAATGTCTTCAAGCAATCTTAAATGTTGTTTTGTTCAAATATCTTTTTATTTGCAAATGGCATGTAATATATTTCAACGTATCATTTCTTGTCTTTGACGTCACGAATCCAATATGACCGCGATGACTACTCCAAAGCCTTAACGTATGATATCTCCTTAATGTGATTTATTCGAAACCATATTCGGAAAATATCGTGCTATATGATTCCTCCCTTTTTTTTACTGGAATAAAATGATAAAGCCGTACTTTATCAATTAGATATTAAGGGGTCAGACCAATGTAACGATTTAAAAAAACGAATTTTTTGCATTTTTCGTAATCTTAGTCTTAAAACTATGCCTCTAAATTTTAATGAATATCTTAATGAAGTTCTTGAAAATTATTGTGGTATGCGTCTTGAAAGCAAGTGGACTCAATATAAACAGTATTACGACTGATTTCAGTTTTGGAAAAGAATAATAAAATATCTGCCGATATTCTTTAGATATAATATATTAGGTTGGTGCGTATGAAATGTCGCATTCTCTTTACATGCGGACGTTTTCCTCCCTGTTTTCGTTATACTTTTGTATTTGGCATAACCTCATTCATACTCGTATTGTCCATTGCCAGAGACTCATTTCAACAAAATAGGTTTTCTCGAAGGTCTTCCCTTTTTTATTTCTTTTGAGTTTATTACCGATATGAATTCTGCCGACATTCGCGTCATTTTCTTATATGAGTACAAACTTGGTAATAGTGCTGCAAAAGCTGCACGCAACATAAACCAAGCGTTTGGGGAGAATACGGTTAACAATCGGAAAGTGCAGCGTTGGTTCGAAAAATTTCGGACTGGCGATTTTTCACTGCAAAATGAGCCGCGCGGAAGACCCAAAACGTCTGTGAATAATGATGACCTGAAGGCTCTAGTGGAAGCGGATCCAGCCGTATCCACGAGGGAACTTGCTATCAGGATGAAAGTTGACCATACAACGATATTGAGACACCAAATTGTACTCCCATCGCTTGTGAATCGGCATGGCCCGCTACTGCTCCATGACAACGCTCGGCCGCACACATCGCACAAAACAATTGCGAAACTGAACGAACTGGAATATGAAGTTTTGCAGCATCCACCATATTCACCGGATCTCTCGCCGACCGATTTTCATTTTTTCAAGCATTTAGAGCTGTTTTTAAGAGGCAAACACCATGAAAATGAAGACAGTCTAAAAAACTCGATATCAGAGTTTATTAATTCTAAAGACCAAAATTTTTTTAAGACAGGCATCTACGCTTTAAAATCTCGTTGGGAGAAGTGTATTGAAGCGAATGGAGCATACTTTGATTGAATAAACAGCTTTTGAAGAAAGATATACAGTTTTATACAATCACTTAAGAATCCGACATTTCATATGCACCAACCTAATAGATTATTTAAGTGCATCTACGTGTAAACATGTACACATTCACACTAGAAGAAAGTTTAAGTAATAGACGACAATATCTCACAATCAGTCGCTGTAATAGGTAGTAATGTCGAATTATACTTTGAAAATACAATGGAAATAATAATGGGGCAATACCAGATATTCGCCAACAATAGAAGCAACAGATCGAGACAACTTATATGTATCCTAAGTTATTAAGGAGACAAGAAAAGCAAAAAGGGAGGAATTAACTGCCCAAAATGAGTGGTACCAGGAGTTTGAAGACTTTTATATAGAGCAGGAATAGTTGACTTTCTAGAGGTAAGTTGTAAAATTTTAATATTATATCTAAAAACACCCCAAATATTAAATGTGTTTTTTCTTGAAACCATGTTTTTCAAATTGGCGGGATAGATAATTCGAGGAATAATTAATCGATTGACTCGAAAGTTTGTCTGCTTTCAATAGATATATGTTATTAGAGGATGAACCTAATAAATACAGAAAAACATTGAAATAAATATATTTTTGTTATTACAAAATAACAAGAAAAATGCAAAATTTTTATATTCATTTTTCGAACAATTAATATTTTTATAATTTCTATAATTTTCGTTATACAATTTGAAATTTAGGTTTATTCTCCATCTACAAGCATATTATTTAAGACATTTTTTAATTTTTTTTATTTTAGATGACTATAACGGGCACCATTTTTCTTACCGATTACAGCGGTATTTTTTGCAGTCGTGAGTTCGACCACATGCTACACATATATTTACAGATTTTTCTTAATAAAATAGTAAATATAGTAAATATAAGGTGTAATAGTTAGATAATAAATGTACAATATTTCAAAACATGGCTGTTTCATTTTTGTAAAATTAATTCCCAAAAATATCCTTTTTTAGAGTGTAACATTGATCTGACCCTTTAACGTACTCGTTTGTATATCATAAACCTATGCGACAAGCGATAAGAACCTCATTTATAATTTCCTTAATGAAATCCAACATGCAACTTGCGCTTTCTACATCGTTATCCCCGACGTGCTTGCCTATCTTCACGACCAACAGATTCTCCACGTTATCCTTGATCCATGTGTATACATCAAACTTCTTCTGCGCCCAGGTGCAATGAAGATCCACGCTCTGCGTGAGCACAAGGATTGTTCTTACGTTCGGATACCGCTTAGAAATCTCTATGGTCACGTACAGATTCATCTTAGTGAGACCGATCTTATTTTCAGATATTAACGGAGAGATCTGATCTGCGTCTGTTTGCGAGAAAACGCAACAGTTTACAAATACATGGATGAAGAGATCCTCGCGCAAATTGGTAGGGATAATGTATGTACTGTACTAACGAAATCCGTAACTATGACCCAAAAGATCCAGGATCATCAAAAATTCGCCACATCGTGCCATGTCGTTGAACCTCTCTTTGTCCACGAGAATATAAGTGTCACTTTCGTCATCGTTGTCTTCACAGATCTCTCTCGTGGTGTGCCAACGGCAATATTTCACCTATTGAATTATGTCGCGTTTTTCATATTGAGGAGAATTGTCCGAGCAAAAGAAGAAATGTATCGTCTACTTTGTAGATTACTTTGTCAGGAATCGTTCGGATTACGTGCAGGGCTAATTCCATCTTTTTCACCGCTGATGGGCCCGTTAGTACGATTAGCGGCGGAGCGACCTTGTCATAGGATGGAACGTGAGCGTGTATCTTGCTGATGTTTAATTGCTCCAGCAGTATTGACTTTGCTACGTTACATGCAGCCGTCAAATCCGGTGGCAATGCGAATAACGTAATCGAAGTTACCTATAAAAACATCTCTATTTAGAAAAATGTTTTGATAATAATATGATAATGATTATCGTTGGCTGCGTTCAGAAAACATAACGGTTGTGCAATAGTTGAGTAATTCGTCAACGTAATTGGTCTAAATTTAGAAATTTAACAATAAAGATTAATAATAACTGACCGTTTATTAATCGCTTGGATCGATTTGTTTTGTTGAATATAACCATTAGTATTTTTTCGCATTATAAATTATACGGAGAAAATATAGCTTTTTTTCATATGAAATTTTTTTTAACTTTACCATGCTTTTTCTAGTAGCACAGGAATAGACTGGCGTTAGAGTTTATCTTTCTAAAGAACATGAACGTAATTTTTTAGTAAATATTTAATAGTAAATATTTTAGTAAACTACAATTCTTAAAATCTAAATATAACTCATATCTTTCATGAAAAAAAAACACTCACAGAAATACTCAAGAAGACTGAAAATAATTTTCAATACAATACTCAATTTGAAGGTTATTTCCAACAGTCAACTTGAGTATAATCCTAAACTTGAATGTTGACTTTAATGTTAACTATGACCTGAGAATTACTTGCAATATTATTCTCCAAGTGAGAATAACATTCAAGTTAACACTTTAATGCCCATATTCTCAATAGGGTCTTATATTTAATATCGTCTTAATGTCTATCTTAAATTTTCATTCATCTTATGAAATAGCCGCATAGCAACTTAAAACTATGTTTAAGACATTCTGAAATATAAAACCTGACTATGAATATCGGCCAAAGTGAGGCTAACACTGAAGTTGTAAAGGATGTTGCACTTACATACAGAGTAACACGACGAGTTGTCTATCCGTTTCGCTACATACAAGCGCATAAAGTTATGCATAGCCTGATGCGTCTGCACGTAGTGAAACGAGTCAACCTGTCCTATTGCTCTAAATATAGGTACAACACTCTATACTTTAATCACAGGAATTATTTGTTTTATAACTTTAAATAGAATGGAAAAATATGTCATTTAGGAAATTGTTTGAAATACTTAATGATGTTTTATGTACGAGGTGTGATCAAAAAATAAGGTGACTTTTCATTTTTATAAAAAAATATTCATTTATTCATCCAAAATTATGTTATCCCCTTCAAAATAATCCCCCTCTGATACAATGCACTTGTGCCAGCACTTTTTCCAGTCGTCAAAACACTTCTGAAATGCACTTTTGGATATTGCCTTGAGCTCCTCCAGCGATGCAGCCTTAATCTCCTCAATCGTCGCAAATCTTCGTCCTTTCATGGGCCTTTTCAATTTTGGGAAGAGGAAAAAGTCGCAGGGGGCCAAGTCTGGTGAATACGGTGGCTGAGGCATGATGGTAGTATTGTTTTTGGCCAAAAAACTACTCACTAGTAACGACGTGTGCGCAGGTGCATTATCATGGTGCAAAATCCATGAATTTTCTTTCCACACTTCCGGTCGTTTTTTTTTTATTGATTCACGCAAACGCCGCATAACCTTCGACGATTTTTCAACACAATTTCTTTCACTTCTTCAACATTTTCGTCGATTTTTGACGTGCTGGGGCGTCCAGAGCGAGGTTCATCGTTAACATTTTCTCGGCCCTCTTGGAATAACTTATACCATTTATAAACATTTTTTTTGCTCACAGTTGACTCACCGTACGCCACTGTTAACATTTTGAACAAGTTTTTGAACACTTAATACCATTTTTTACACAAAAATTAATACAAACTCTCTGCTCCATTATTTTCAACAGCAAAAAATCGCCGAGCACACAAACACGAGTCTAACCTTTATGCCTCTCATATAAAAACAACACATGCTATATAGTCAAAACAGTGAACATATGATCGTGACGACTGTACCAACACAACAAAAAAAAAATTTTGAAATTAGAGTGTACAGAGCGCGCGAAATTCAAAAAGTCACCTTACTTTTTGATCACACCTCGTATATACGAGTATAATAATATTTCATCATCAAGTTACTATCATTCAGTCAGAGAAACTAATAATGTCACAACTTGTTTACAAAATATTCGTAATAATAAATATACTTTTTTATTATGTAACGATAAGTCTTATGTAATGAAATTAGTAAATAATATGTAATAACATATCGCACCTTTGCTAGAAGACGATCACATTTCTGAAATTATCAAATTCGAGTTGTTGCCACGATCGTGTCAGGAATATTTTGAGTAATTCGTCAACGTAATTGGTCTAAATTTAGAAATTACAATGTTATTACATCTTTTGTTTATCATATTTTCATTTTTTATTTATTGGTACAAATAAGTATTGTGGTCATTTTAACAAATATGTTATTGTTGAAAAATATTAATTTCTAATTAAGAAAATATTTAAAGTATATTTTTAACTGAAGAACAGATTTTATATTACAATACAAAAGCTATAATCTAAACTTAATGCATTTATTTAAAAAATGTTAACGTATTTAAATGTGCTCAAATAATTGCGAACGTTTATACTCACCAATTTAGAGTTAATATTCAGTCATGAGAATTAACACTGAAGTGACTTTTGAAAATATTCAATCTTGAGAGTAATATTCTAAGATTTAGGACTTATATTCATTTATTGAGTATCATACTCAATTGTTGCGAGTAAATTTTTAAAACGTTCAATATGTTAATACTTACACATGAGTGTAAATATTAGGTGAAGTAAAAAGTTCTGAGCGTTTTCCGCTAAGTGTCT